AGCACCCGCTTTCCGTTACCGGCGTGTGCCCTGAGCGAGATGGGACATTCCCTGTGTGATGTGACGACGCTGCTCCGCTCCCCGCGGAGCGGGGAGGCACCTCTGGGTACTCGCCTCAAAGCGACCCTGCCGACCTGCACACTGAGCCCGGAGGAGTCGGTTTGCTCGCTCCCTGCAGGCACGTACAGTATTAACTGCCCGCAGTTAATAAGGTTGAAAACTTGTTGCTTGGACAGGAAGAAGACCATAAAGGAAATGGCCTTTCTCCAGGTCCGAGGACAGGGCAGCTTGCATGCTGACTTAAACTAGTAAAAGATCCTTTAGAAGGGGTTCCTGCAGTCAGGAATTTTATTGCATCACCGCGTTTCCTCACATGAGTCCGTCTGGCACAGTGTTGCTACTCAGGTTTGCCCAAGGAGGCTTATGCACGCCAGACTCGTTTGTTTGAAGGGGTTGGAAGTATCTTGAAGTGTAGGGAGGCTGCTGTGCTGTACAGTTTGCACACGGAGTGTATAAAAAACCAAAACGTGCAGCACTGGCTTTCTCTTTCAGTGTCAGAAGCCCTTTGTGGTCGCACTGCTCTGTGTACACTGAGGGTTCTGGACTCCAAGGTTCAACATGATTGTACTCTATTTAACCATAATTAGTGCTATTTACATGTCTGTTAATCAGAGCAATAGCCTTGTCCTCAGTGCTGCAGTTTGTCCCTGCCGAGTCTTTTGTAGTCTATGTGCAGAGCCATAAAAAAAGCTCAGTATTATGTGAGGATGGGAGATAAACACATGAGTGCAGCCAGGGATGTGCCACGACACAGTGCCTAAGTCCTGCAGGAAGGAAGAAGAGTTTAACTTCTGAGTCACTGAAAAGATATTTAATTCAAGTGACGTTTCATATTTTCTCCCTGTTCTGGGAGTGGCGCCTCAGTTTGAGTGCTTTATCTGCATATGCCCATCCTTTCTAGAGTTTCTAGTTCCTCTCTAACTTTGAATCTCCAACACCTTAGCTTCTAACATTTCTCTTTGGTTGCTGCTGTAAAATATGAGAATTCTTTGGCACTGTGGTCTCGTGAGTGGCTTAGTTTCTAAAATTAACACGACTGCCATGATGATATTCTGCTGGGTAAATTTTAGCACTGAAATCTGACTGTACCACATCAATCACCTGTGCATGCCCTGTGACACTGATCTGCTGCCATCCCTGGGGTACAGTCCCTTACCCCTGGCAAAACTCCCTCACCTCCCAGAATGTTCTGGGTCACGCCCGCATGCCCGCCTGGGTTTGCATTCCCTGCTCTTCCCATGCATGTTACTTGATCCAGCCTGACATTCTCCAGCCCAGGGAGGAAGCACCTTAAAAACAAACTGCGTTTTTGCTTCCCAGCAGAGAAGTTTCTTTGCTTTCCACGCCATGGGAGCGGCAGAGAGGAACCGTTCTGCGGGGACTGGAACTCGCTGTCGAAGGGAAGCGCTGGCTGGATGCTGCTTAACAATCCTGTCTTTCTGCTGAAGCCCTTGTCTGTCAGTATTGTTCCTCAGCCTTTTGCTTCCTCTGCCTCCTCTTCCTCTGCGTGGGAAGTGGCTGCTTAGATGAATAGTGTGAGGACTGCCCCATCCCTGGAAGTGTCCAAGACCAGGTTGGATGGAGCTCTGAGCATCCTGGTCTCGTGAAAGGTGTCCCTGCCCATGGCAGGGGGTTGGAACTGAACGCTCTCTTTCCAACCCAAACCACTTAGAGTTTGCAAAGCACTGTTTGTATGGCAGAGCATCCCTTTAGCAGGTTAAAACTCATCCTTTAAGAAAGAACGAGGATGCAGAGTCCAAAACTCTCTAGTTCCAGTTAAAAATGTGGGAACAGCCCTCAGAGAGCTGGCTGGAAAGCTTCCTCCTAGTGCGGTTCTTAGGAAAATCAAATAAACTTCCTGTTTCCCAGGCAGTTCTATTAATAAGTCAGTCTTTTTTCTGCTCCATCCTTAGCTAATTATGGCACCTCAATGCTTAACTAATGTGAGGTCACGCTCAAGAAAAGTGCTTAATCAAGATAAAAAACCTTTTTGATGTATCGGGCCATGGTGTTTGGAGCCCAGTTTAGGCATAAATCACATGGATTGCCTGTGATTAGTAAATTACCTGGTGCATTTTATTTTTCCTTCCATTCAGCAGTACAGTTGATATGGGAGTTGCCTTCCAACGTTTTGGGAGCAGATGGAGAAAACACTGGGCTGGTAATGTGAGGTTATCACCAATCTCAGCTGCGAGCTGCTAATCTCCCTGCGTCAGTAGGCTGAAAGTCCTTCGTGGTAACAATAAGTTTTGGGCTGAACTCGAAAAGAAAATGAGCAATATTTTGGCTCCTTCACTGCTTCAGAGTGCTTGCTGAGATAAAACCCTTTGTGGCATTCTTGGAAAATTGCTGCCTTCTGTTTTAGAGGCGACCTTCTGTGGTGGGGGAGAGAAGGGGTTGTACTCAGATGTCCTCTGAGGTGGAATTTGCTTATATAAACGGTGCTTTTTTTTTTTTTTTTTTTTTTTTTTACCCATGCTGTTATCTTTAAACCATTTGACAAATACAGTGTGCCAGACCAGTGAGCCTTGTAACGAAATGTTTGCTTGCACTGGTCAGCATGAAGCAATCCACATACTTCACTTTGCTTGGGCAGTAAAGTGGTAATAACCATGTGAAGAATTTTTTTACAGCTGTTCTTGTTCTACTGTGTAAAGGGATAGTCTTTTACTGCTAAATTCTATCTACTTCTGGAATGGGCAGTGTCCTGTTACTGCTGCTTTCTGACTTTTATATAGATTTATGGAACAGGAAGTATGGACTTAATGGAAATACAGATAGTTGAGCCAGAACTGTGTTTTCTACTCTGTATCTGGAGATGTCCTATTGTTGAAAGAATGCGTAATGGTAATATTTGTGTGTTTGCCAATATAACTGTTTTCCTACTGATCTTGATTAACTGCAGGGCTGGAGTGCCATTCTAAAAACTCATCTCTGCCGCTGAAGTTCCAGACAGTCTGAACTGGTGGAATTAATCACAGCTGCCTAGAGACACACTGAAGTGGTGAACTTTGTCTGCAGCTGCCTCTTTTGTGGTGGTGCTGAGCATCTTCTGTTGGACTAGTTCTCTCCACTGCAAGAAACAGAGCACACATGACCCTTGTCTCTTTTCAGTTCCAAGTGTCCTGTTGCTCTGCCCTAATGATGATATCCTCCTTGGCCTTATGATATTTTCCTCTCCCCAGTTAATATATGTGACTGCCTTTGCTCCCTTGGTATCAGCTTCCCCATGGGAAACTACATCAGCTCCCATTCTGCTGAAATCTTTCATCGCTTCTTTCTTAGCCTGGTATCTTCTCTTTCATCTCAAGGTTTTGGCTGTCCAAACTCCCCCACAAGTTCTGTTGTTCCCTTTTCCCACGTACCAAAGAAGCAAAGTCACACTGCACTGTTCTGTTTGCTTTAGGCCTTTCCTCTGAACAACTTTGCTTTTTAAACGTGTCCGTGGACTCTTCCAGCTGCACACGTGCCATTCTGGGATAACAGATCAGTTCTTTCGCAAGTGCTTCCATGGATGGATTGAGAAATTCCCTCTACTGTAGCAGTTGCAAGCATAAAAATATTTAATCTTGTTTCTGATCAATACTTTATCTCCTGTCATGACGTCATTTAATTCTTCCTTTCAGGCTCTTTATTTCTGTAACTGTTTGACTCTCCAGAACTTTTGAGGACTCCGTGTTGCACCATGCACAATGTACTGGAATTCTCAACAGCTGTAAGGGGCAAAAGGAGCAGGGACTCTTTCCTGTGTCATGCTTTCACCTGTTTTCCATTCACAGCCATCTGGAATTGGAGGACCTGAGTTTTTATGGTGTAACAGAAGTCTGTTTATGATAAAAAGAGCAGAATTCTAATACAGTTCCATAATCTGGACTGGAATATCTCTCCAAACCTAAATACATTTAGATCTCACAATACAACTCCAAACCTATATGCATTTTTACATCTTCCTGGTTTGTATGTCTTGAATCCTGCTGGGGCAGTTGTAGAGCTTTTGGCCAGGCTTCTGTAATTCATCCTGAAGGATTGAGCAACACAAGGTTGTATCAGACAAGCGAAGCACTGTTACAGATTGAAATTCCAGTTGATACCCTTCCTCCTGCTGCTTTCAGCAGTTATTTGCCAACAAGTCCTCATCCACCCATCTCCTTACTAATCCCAAAGGACAAATGTGGATACTGGGAACCAGTTTAACACAGGATGAAATTGCTTTCAAAAACACATTAATTAACTCCACACACATTTGTGAATAATGTTTATTAAAATAATAAGCACAATAGATCATATTTTGTGGGTCTGTAGGGACCAGAGGTCTGTTGCTGCTCTTTGTAAATTATGAAATGTGTGGTTTGATGGAGGCCCTGTTCTCTTGCACTTGTGCAAGAGCAGAACTGTAGGTCAGTGATTTAGTTGTAGATAAAGCCTTCAGATCTGTGGTGTGGATGAGTTGGTGTGAATTTTGGGTCCTGTTACCTTCTCTGATTTAGGCTAATGACGCAAATGAACTCCTTGTAATCAATCATATGAGTTCTTGACAGCTGCTGAAGAGGCTTTGAGAAGAAATACAGGGGTTGGTTTTAGCACAAGAGAAACTTGTGGGCTCAGTGTTGGTTATAAATAGCCTTGGCCTACAGTGAGAGCCTTGGGCCGAGGGTGCACTGGGACAGGGAATGTCAGGGGACAAGGGCTGGCACCCTGCTGCCAGAGGTCCTGCAGGGACAGCAGGAGGAGGGAGCAGCTGGAGAGCAGGGAATCTCACACCTTCACGGTGAAAGTCTTTTCTCAGTTTGGATCTCTGGCCATCAGCCCTGCCTTGGTGTGATTAATATATGAAATGGGCAGTGTGTGTTCACCCCGTGTTCAAGGGGAGGTCGGAAGCCAATTTTTAGGTGTAAATACATACAAGAGAAACTTGCTCTTGCATGTTTCCCTTGCATATAAACAAACAAACAAAATTACGGAGTAGGCAAGTGTTGCTTTATGTTCATGTACGTACAGGACCAGGTGTATAACTTGAGGAATGTTTGTTCTTCCAGGATTGTTTTTGTCCAGCCTTGCAGCAAACTGGAGAAGCCTGGTGGTTCTCAGGTTTATTTAGCAGAGACCTTTGTCCTGTTTTCGCGGGGCAAACGACTGAAGGAAGCTGGCTGACCTTTGGGAGATGTAGGTGCCACTTTGACTGGAGCAC